TAGACACACACAGCACTAGCAACCTCAAAGAGGTTCAAACCCTTCCCCACTCTGACCAAAGCTAACAGGAAAGCTTCAGCTGGAGTTCTATAATGTGAATGATGATTCAGGGAGTGTTTCTTTGCTTGGATTGTAAAATGTGGAGTGCTTGATAAGTTCATGGTGGCTATAATTATAAGATTGTTTGTTTTTTATGTCTGGGGCAATGATAATGATAGATTTATGAGGACATGGTGATGGTAATGTGAGATGATATTGGCTGAAGTTAGTTATCATTTCATTTTTGTAACTTCACAGCTTTTCTTCAGTACTATACCAGGGAATACAAGCTATGTCACATCACATATAGTGTAAACAAAATACTGGGTGGCATAACTGCTTTAAATCTGTCTTCAGTTAACCTTTTTCAGCTATGACCTAATTTCAAATTGTTCTTGAAGTCTCCAGATACAGTTCTTGTATAAACATATTCTGCAATGATAGATGAACTTTAAGTGGTAAACAGAACATGCTTAACCCTCAAGCAAATCGCTTAATAGACAGGAGAAATACATGTATTGGAGCTGTTTTACCAGCCAAATGATATGTATTACTGTCCATCCAGTCCTGAAATGTACACAGCACAGCCCTTAAAGTGAAGTCATACAGAAATAGGCACCAAACAAAATGGTGAAAGAGCCCAAAATACTTTTTATTCTTCGCCATTCAACTACATAAAAAAAACCCAGCCAACACTTTTCATGGGCAATACCACTACTTCAGCGCTTAGAAATGAGGACTTAAATTGACTCAAATAAACTATAACCAATGTGATCTTTATTTGGTCTGATTTACACTCTCCTTATGGACTGCTAATATACACTGGGATCAGCAGCAGTTCACAGCTCCTCTTAAACATTCATCTCTGTAGTAAACAGATCATCTCTGTCTGGCAGGGCATTAGACCTAGGGGTCTATTCACTAAGCTGCCGTAGGCAGCCGAGTGAATGACCAACCTGAAGTGAAGTGAGCCGAACACTGTTCGGCTATTCACTTCAGGCTGGTACGGCTCATTTCAGACTCATATGCGTTCGGCTCGACTGAGCCGCTCAGCCACATTCGGGAGCTGTACGGGCTATAGTGAATAGCCCGTACAGCACCCCTTCGGTTCTACTGAACCGAAGGGGTCCTGGGGCCGAAGCTAGCCGAAGGATCGGCCGAAGCTACGGCTAGATCCTTCGGCAGCTTCGTGAATAGACCCCCTAATTTTTCTCTGCTGCAATTTCATTTTCATTTACAGGTCTCTCACCCATTACCAGTGAAAGAAGGAGCAGTCCACTGATAAGCTCATTTCTCCGTCACTCTTCTCTCTCCACTTTTTCCTCCTATTAGAAGTATCCTTGCACTAAAACAATACGATTGGCTCCTGGTGCTGCTCCTCCTCCCCTTTCTCTGAGTTCTGCTATAAGGGAGTCTATACAGTAAGTGGCTAATACAAAGTCAAATTCAACTACTTACAGAGTTTGCATTTAAAAAAATATATGGAGTGATGTACAGTATAAATGATAACAGGACTGTGCTTGTTATATATGACTGGAGTACAGCTTTAATATGTGAACTAACTGAACACATGTAAACTTGCTACAATAATTGTATTGAAACATTAATTAATTGTATAAATGAATGTGAGCTGGTAGCAACACATTCTTGCTGCTTTAAGTTCATTTATGTAAAAAAAATACAAATAAATATAATAAATAAATATGTAAAAAAAAGCCTGCAGTCCATTTATACATTGACTACTAAGTCAATATGACCAGGCTAGTCCACAAAGACCGGAGTTTCAAGTTTGTAATCCATCAAAAATCCCTAGCATGCTAGAGTTGTTGCCATGGTTTGTGTTAAATTTATATCCACATGTATCATCTTTTCATATAGTTCAATTGTCTTTGTGTGCATAAAGAAACAAGCATAAGGTGCTGTGATGAAACATTCAAAGCTCAACATACATGGGTATCTGCTTTTTTTCTCTGTTGTTCCCAAACATACAGGGGTTGATTTACTAACCTTATAAACACACCACGAACATGTATACACCTCTGTAGTGTGTTCCCTCCCAGCATGATCTATGGGTGGAATCTAAACACCTTTGTAGTGTGTACACACCCAGCAGGTGTGTTGTGCAAAGCCCTGCCCTGAATTGCAAGGTGATGTTGTGTAAATTAGCTCTACGTTGTGTTGCTTGCGTTGATGAATGCAGGAATGTAAATGCATGAGCTAACCATTTTTGTCTAAACTGTGAAGCAGCATTATATATGCATCATGTGCATGATTTTTCCATATATGGCATTAGTGGAAATATGCTTATAGAGACTTTTTGGTTGATAAATACGCTTTGCTGTGTAAAAATCACACGCACCTGGTGCGTGCGTGTGTTTAGGTTAGTAAATCACCCCCACAATGTTCAAAGGTGAACCTTCATTGCACTTCAGCAGATACTATGTGCATCCTGAGGCGCTTCCAAAGCAAATGCCCATACTACACTAGAGTTTCATGTGTTGTATAAGGAATACAGATCTTCAGTATATAAGTATGTACAATGGATAGACTTCACCCATTTGTGATTATATGTGTCACCCAGAATGCTTGCCAGTTTCATTCAGCACACCAGGTAACTATGCAATCACTGTAGAGGTCTGTGTCATGTAGATCTTGGTCTGATCAGGTCCATAAAGCAGGCTGGACGCCTTCAAAGAAAGCCAATGCAATTCATCCACAGAGGACTTTTTCACAGCATGTGCGGCATCTGGTATTCCGAACAAACACTTCCTCAATTTATCTGCCAGAGGGCTTCCGGGTTGGGAACAAGAAAAGGGTCTCTAATATTAACCCATTGAAGCTCCAGCTTTTAACATTATGAGGGTTATTCACTACAGAGCTGAAGAATCCAGCCATAGCTTTGGCTGATCCTTCGGCTTGCTACGACCGCCTGAGCCATTCGGTTCAGTCAGTATAGCAGCCAAGTGGCTCAGCCGTAGTGACAGGCGAAGCGTGGACAAAGGTTGGACAAAGCTGACTGATCTCCACGCAAATGACAGCTGGGTGGAGCATGCTGTGACATCACAGCCAACTCTGCCCAGTTGTTATTTATTGCCCGAGACCTGCTAGAAGACTCTGGCAGGTGCCGGCCAATAGGAAACAGTTGGGTGGAGCTAGTGGTGATGTCACCGCTAGCTCTGCCCAATTGTTTATATTTTGCCGGCATCTGTCAGATTCGATATTATGCGGTGGGAGTTTGCCGCATGCGTCTTTTTTTTTCTTCTTTAAAATATATTTATTATTTTCTTAATTTTTTAAAATTTTCCTATTTTTTACATTTTTACAAATAATTTGTCAACATTTTTGTTTTTCATTCATTTACTTTTTTTCTATTCTGCTCGCTACCTCAGTGGTAGCAAGCAGAATAGTCGGGCGGAATGGTGCTCGGCGACATTCAGCTATTCACTCACTGCCGTTTGGCCTATATGAGAATAGGGGTGAACGGCTCCGAATGAGCTGCCAGAGCTTTAGCTCAGCCGATCCAGATGAATAGCCCCCTATATGTTAGGGAACAACAGAGAAAAAAAGCGGATACCCATGTATGTTGAGCTTTGAATGTTTCATCACAGCATCTTATGCTTTTTTCTTCACACACACAAAGACAATTAAACTATATGCTGATGATGGATATACATTCTACACAAACCATGGTAAAAACTCTTGTACACTTGTGATTTTTGATACAGCTGACTACAAGCTTGAAACTCCGGTGTTTGTGGACTAGCCTGGTCATATTGACTAAGTAGCAGTCATTTAACATATCATCTGTATATGTATAAGTCTGCAGGCTTCATAACCCTATTTACATATTTATGTATTATATTTATTTGTATTTTTGATATCTATTGTTGGTGGAGTTAGTGTTTATAGAAACAAATCGTTTGATGAAATCTGTCCAATCACGATTATTAGTTCTTTTTCAGGGGATTTTTTTTTAGTGCAGTATTGATTATACAGCACAACCATGATTATTGAATATTTGGATATCGTGAGTGATACATATTAGGAGTTTTCTCTTTTCCCCGCTTGATGTAATTACATTTTAGGATCATTTACCAGCCCATTTTAGTGTGTATAGGGGCATTCCATTTCCTATTAGCACCAAAAAAAGTTCTTAAGGGGATGCAGATGCAAGTATGTGCACATGCAAGCAAACATTATAGGAAACATATGCAAACTCTTCATTTATTGGGTTCCTACAGCCTTTTTTAAATAGGGAATACAAATAAAAAATACCATAACTGAATTTAATCAGTTTAAATGTAAATTTACAGCATACTTAAAGTAGATGTAAACCCTAACTGAATATTTTGTTTGCTCCTGCACTGAGTAGGTGAGTGAGGAGCGCTGTGCGTAAATAGTAAGTCTTGGAATCTCCAGCTGGTTGAAGAACGATGATCACTTTATTTGTTTAATGGCTGCATGACATTTTCTTATAGTGACAACAGCGTATAATACTTGCATAATGCGTATTGAAATGACCACTTGTCTCAACTGGAAACCCATGTGAAAGGGTGACCATGCAGAAGCACTATTGGCTGATATGGTCAGTTCATTGTTTCCCTATAACATGAACTGCCTGAACAAGGACTTTTAAGGTTGGCTCATCAGGCATTATTTTAATAAAAACTGCAAATTTAAAAATATTTAAATTTACTCTCAAAGTTACATTACCATGTTAAAGTGTATGTGGAATTTTAGTGATTAGGTTTACATCTACTTTAAGCTGCATGATTAATTAGTTTTTTTTTAAACTGTATAACAAAAGTCACAGACAGAAAAGACATATAAGGTGTATTTCTCAATGATCTCCTTAAAATATATTGTTATATCACTTTTTACTGAAGAACTCCGACTTGGGCTAGTACAATTGTACCAACATGCCTACAGCTAGCTTTCTAATATATATTTATTTTTTCTAGGCTCATATAAAACTACAACAGTACCAGAATGCTATAACAGACTGTGAGTGGGCATTGAAGGTAAGAGACCAATTTTTATCTGTGACCTGTGACCTGTAGAAGGCATGGCCTATCAACAATGTTTCAGTGAATCTCATATGAATAATCTAAAGTGTTCTATGAACATGGCAATAAATGCATATATTTAGCAAGAGCCATGAAAGACACATTGTTGCACTCATCCACAACAATCCACACAAGATTGCACAACCATTCAGGACATTCTACTCCTCATTTTACAACATGCCACAAAACACACACTTGCAAATGAAGACTGTGCAACACTAATTTAAAACTAGCTCAAAGACCGCAACATGTCCTCCCTGAAGCTGGCTATGAACCAGTAAATGTCCGTACAAATATCAGAAATGTAGGGTAGTCTGAAACTTAGTTTGTTTTTAATATTTGATTTTGGAAATGAATGGAGTTTCTCGAATGAAAACCACATTGACTGTTAGAATTTAGATAATTTTAGAAATATTTTCCATCCTGCTCACAAATCGATTTGACCCCATTAGAAAATTGAACAAATGTTCCAAAGATTTTACTGGTGTATGGTCAGCTTAACTCCAATTCAAGCAGCAGATCTTGAAACACTGTTTGCAAATGATGAATTCCTGCATTGAGCATTGCCCCAAATGGAGCCTAGTAGCCCGATGGGATCATTGCCCAATATTACAAAAAGTTTGTGAATTCTCTGTTCCTACACTTCCTGACAGCATTAAAAGTATAGTCCAGGGAAAAGAACTGTTTTTTGGAGGCTCAGGTGACAATGATCCCAAAATCAGTAAATATTAAACACCTTGATCAAACTACCACCAAATATCGACACAAAGATCATCACAGAAATATTGTAGACATTCTGACTCTAATAAGCCCTGATCGATGCTAGCTTCACTTCTTGTAGGGAAGCTAGAAACAATAACATAAGGACACTTTCTACCATTGATTGTAGAGCTGTGGGGGCTTTTGAAAAAGTAGTCTGGGATTTCATGGCAACAACCCCAGAAAAAATAGGCCTTCTATTGCAAATGAGGACTTGGATCCTCAGTCTACATGTTAAACTGATGAACAGAGGTAAATGTATGGACTTCTCTTAGAATAATTTGTTATCACTAATGGGACAAGACAAGGCTGTCCTCAATTTCTCATCATATTATTCTCTTTATAAAATTGTTTATTAGGACAATAATTCCAAAGCCATTAGAGGAGTTTGTGGGACAGAGAATCGAGTTGCTGCCTTTGTGGATATCACAAAATTCTCAATTATAATCCCTCACCTTCTACAGAGATTTAAAGCATATGGATGCCTCTCCAATTTTTAATTTTATTTTTTCAAGTCTGAGGCTCTAATTATTGACACCCCCTTTTTGTCCCCAACAATGCTGTCCACTCTCAATTGGTCCTTTCTCTTTAGATATCCAACATTTAAGTAGCAATATCACAGCCAAACTAGCCGACTTATTAGCAACTAACTTTGTCATGCTACTGCATTGCATCACTCAAGAGCTGTAAAAACTAGAACTTACCATTCTTCTCATAGTTTGATAAGATGGCTGTAGTCAAAATAAGTGTAGTTTCCTGATTCTTGTATCTCATGCAAACAATCCCTATTTAAATAACCTCTATAATCCTGGAAACTGTTCAATCAACTATTAGCCAGTACATATGGCAGGGAAACCAGTACAGCACAGATTAATTTAATATATTACAGTATGCAGATGTTTGGACTAGTTAATTTTTCTTGATCTTTAGCAGCATAGGTAGACTTTTTCTTGCCCCACGGTTACAAACTGTGGTTTCTTTTTGGGTAGCTACTCTGTTCTTTGGACCTTGTCACTTGCTGAAAGACAAAAATGAAATGAATGATTGCTATTAAAGGAGAACTATGGGGTTAGGGCTTTTCCCCATAGTTCTCCTAAGGGTATGCTCGCGGTACACTGAGACGCAGCAGCTGAAACAGATCCCGACAATTATGTCTGGATCCAACCAGCTGCGTGAGTGACAGCTGGCTCTGCCTATCCAGAAGCAGAGCCAGCTGTACCTGCCTCCTCCCTCGTCCGTTCCGCCAGTCAGCGCTGGAGGATAGGACAGGGCAAGGGGGAATCCAGTCCCTCCCCTGTCACGGCTCTCTGCAGTGACATGATCGACAAGTGAGCGAACAATTTCATTGTCACAGGTCGGCTAGAACTATGAGGATGAGTGAAAATCACTCACCTCATAGTTCTCCTTTAAGGCTCATGTAGAGAAGCTATAATTAGAAAGTGTCATGTGACTTACCAACTGCACATTTAAAAATAAGTGGAATCACTCTACTGAATTCACCAATATTCATAACTGTAAGGCTTATGTTGCCCATTGATGGAAGTTCAGAGCATCCAATATGAATTGAGTCACTGTATAGGTCATGCAGTTGCTTTAAGAGGGGATTAGTACATTGGTTTCCCACTTTTCAGTCTAAGTAATGCGTGACTGGAAGGCTGATTATTTTTTTGTGGAGGAGGAAATGACGCAGGTAAGGAGATGCAGCCTGTTATTACATTTGTAAAGGACTCATTATTCCTTTTGTATTGTATGAGAGCTGTCACTGCATTAATATGTTGCCTTTATTGCTCAATCACTTTTTTTACTGTAAGTGTTCATGAAATATGTCTGTGACATTACACACACATGTAGAGTTGTTATCTTAAACATGTCACGTCTCCTGCTGACAGAAAGCTTTATATAGAATGATCTTTGTTAGTTAAAGTAGATTTAGATATTTTATATCTTGATGTTAAACTTGAAGGCATGTTGCCCTTAGAAACTTTTTTGTATTTCTTTAATATGTATTTTATTTTTTGATGCCTGTCAAGTGTAGTTGGGGCATATTGAAAAATACAGAGTGGACAGTAAATTAATTTCTTCAAAATAAACAAACAAAAAGGGATGCTCTACAGATCAAAGTTTGAATTATATATTATTTTGTGTGCCTTCTATTGTGTACAGCTGCAAATGCTCAATTGTATGTTGGTAGCTCAGCATGACAACTATTGTCCATATATTCTAAACTGGCTGTATATATTGAGAGCAGGCTATGGGATGTTGTTATATAGGTATATGTGTTACACATAATGGAAATACTTTAGTTGCCATTGCTCACCTCCTTCAGAAAAAAAAACAGTTGTTTGATTGTCATGTTAATTGTCTGCATCTAATACTTCCTAATAGACATGTAAGCCAACAAAAAAAATCTGTTTTTACATTTTTCTTTCTTTCGGGTTTTGGGTTTCAGGTCCTGATTCAGATCTTTCGGAATTTTGTTTTAGTTTCGGATGGGGTTTTCTGATTGGTCAGAAAACAGTCATGTGTCTGATTTTTGTTTCATTTTCAATGAAATTCTGATGATCTGAAGTTCTGTTAAAAGAACATTTGGATACATTTGCAGCCTCATTGGAATTTGGATGCATCTGAATGTACAAATTCACAACATTTCATCTGAATTTGCCTTTGGAACAAAATGAAATTGACATGTCTACTTTCTAAATCAATGACCAAGAGCAAGCATGTTGTAGATCAATGCTTGCCACTTTACATGGACTTTTCTTGTTGCATACTCTTGTTGCCTAACCCTAACAGACCACATAACTCTCATGATGGGTGTCTTGTCTTGAGTAATGATGGGTTTTTAAGACATATGGTTTGTTTGCATTGGCATGGTAAAAATCCCTCCTGATGTCTTAGGCTAGGTTCACACTGTTTTGCTGTGGTATTGTGCAAAAATGTGTATTATGCACATTGGTGTGCTGCGGTGCCATTCATTCTTAATGGCATTCCAATGCACCGGTGTTGTAGAGCACCGCAATGCACCACTGTGTGTTATGATGCTCTGTGTTAAAAAAAAATGGATGTACCTTTTTTTGATGCATTTTGGTGCATTAGCTTATTCAAATGAATGGTTGCTTCAACCCCACACACATCAACTCCCATGCACTAATGCTCTGAAACCCGCTTAAATGTTAACTTGATTAACCACTACAGCAACATATTATTACAGCTATGAAAGGTCATAGGAAATAAAGATGCATTTTATAGTGCTGATCTTTTTTAATTTCCAAGGGTACCAAAGGTCAAAAAAATTACAACTGAAAACATTTTCAGAGCCTCTCCTTTCCAAAGAAAGCAAAATATATGCCTGCACCCCTTCTTCAAATCCTGCCACTTCCCATTGTTGCCTCTTCTAAGCTGCTATGTTACTATCTCTGCAGCTCTAACACCCAACCTGTGCTGTGTACGTCAGACTATGACTATGGAGACGAAGACTATGGAGAAAACTTCAACATAGTGTGACAGGGTACACGATTCTGTGTATGTCAGCGAGAGGTTGAAAAGGGCAGCTTTCCCTGGCTAGGAAAGGGTTAAGCCTGGCCAACAGGTAAACCTCCTCTCTCTCTATTAATTAGCCTGCACCTGATAGTGACTGGGAGGGAGTGAGAGCTCAGAGTGAGATCCAGGCTGCACTGGATGGACACAGACTGGAGAGTGTCTGCATATCTGGGGAATAAGGTCTGTCAGAACAATTGTTTGTATTGGACTGTGGTTTTTGTCCATTTATACTGGAAGCTGGAATAGCCGCTCCAGTAGGACGTAGTGAGGGACACTACTGTTTAGTTAGCCTCCTAAGGTGGAGTAGGCCTTTTTGTTTGTGTTACTTTTTCGTTGGATGCAATAAAGCTGCATTTATTGCCATTACTGTTTAAAGACCAGTGACTTTCCTACAATAGCAACATTTAACATCGGGGCTAATAGTGAGCATTATGTATGCCATTCTCCATCCCAGATAGCAAGCAATTGAGCTGCACATTTGAAAATGACTTGCTAAACTATTACAGACTTGCCAAGCTTCACAATTTTGTTGCATAATTACAGCAAGTCTGAATTGCAAGTCTCCAGACCAGCGAGCTTGCAGAGCTCTTGCTAAGACCCGCAGGACTCTTGCTGTAGACTAGCCAAGCAAATTTGCTACAAATTCAAAAAGTGTCAACTAGAACTTGTGCTGCAAGTGTTTTGCAAGTCTACAACTTGCCAGGAATGTGTGCAGCAAGTTAACAAAAATTACACTTTCACCCTGCCACAAGTTTGTAGCAAGTTATCCTTGTTATCTGGGATGCAGTAATAAAATATGGACATTACACGTGATGACAGAGTCTCTTTAAAGAAGTCCTGTCTTGAAAGCATATGGTTACTAACCTCCTTCTAAAAATTTAGCAATTAGAAAGGATATTTAACTTGAAAAATTTGAAAAAGCTTATAGAACCATCTTAAACTAAACTGGAGAACTGTTGAGGTCATGTTTTTTATTCCGTTAAATAAAAGTATTCTTCAAGAAAATATTCTAACAATGGACTCATATCTTTCATTAATCAATACAGATTAGGGAGAATTTTTCAAAATCGGAGAAAACAAGATCTGAAAAAGTTGACCATGGCAACCAATCAGCTTCTCTCTTCAGTTTGTTCAGTTAAGATTTGAAAATGAAAGATTGGTTGACATGCACAGCTGCTCCAGATTTTGTCTGCTCCAGCTTACTGCCATTATAACCAGCTGAAGAATAAATCTTTTTCAAATCTGCATCTATGCGGCGGTCCATCACATCTTTGAAGGCCACCGAGTTGTCGAGCGGCAGAGAAATGTGGCGAGCCAGGCATTGTAACGCTGCATCCACGATAGGGGGTGTGTCCCAGAGTGCTGCATCCACTGCATTGAGAGGGTAGAGCTTTAGGAAGCGATTCTGGAAGTTCAATTTCCGATCCGGGTGTTCCCAATCTTCTCGAATGAGATCCTTAAGCTCTGGCATAACCGGGAAGGTAGGGCCTTCTCGCTTTAGGCCCGGGAAATACTTAGGAGCCTGCTTTGTCCCAAAGCCAATGTAAATGTTAAAAAAGCCATTTTAACTACATTAACAGCTATCTTAAAAAAAATATTTTAAAATAATTTTTGTACACACTCTCCAGGCTCTGTAAATTCAGATAAACCTTATGTAATTTAAAATAGGTTAAGCATTGTGTCTAAGAGTTGATTATGAGCCAAAGCACCATCTATATTTGCTATTTGCAGTTATATATTTTGCTAATGTTTTAGCTGCCTAAATAGACAAATAGTGGAACTAAATATGCCAAGCATGGCCATATTAAAGGTACCTTCCCTAATTTTACAGATGTTTTGAGCTGCAATTACATTGATCATCTGCAGTGTCATGTTCTGTGGCAAATAAATGTTGCAACATCACCATCAAATACACAGGTTGCACTTAAAGTAGATGAAATCCAAGCACTAAAATCTTACATAATCTTTAATTTAAAAATTCATTTTTAATCTGCAAATTTCATTCAAATTATACCTGGTATCTTGTAAATAAAGTGTTTGTTCGGGCACTTGCTGGCATAGGGTAACAATACTCTGTTCCTGTCTCTCTATTCACTATAGCCCGTACAGCTCCCGAAGTTGGCCGAGCGGCTCAGTCAAGCCGAAGGCATATGCTTAGGCTCGACTGAGCCACGGTGAAAGCCGAAGCTGGCCGAATGTCCGGCCATTGGCCGACAGACTGCTTCTGACAGCTGGGTGGAGCCAGCCATCATCTCACGGCTGGCTACGGCCACTTTCAGGGAGATCAGCGTCCCTGGTTACGAGCTAACCAGGGACGCTGTCATTACACACTGAGAGCGGCCTCTCTGTGTTCTCAGTGTGTAATGACAGATGGCGTTCCTGGTTACCTGGTAACCAGAAACGCCATCTGTCATTACTCTCCCAGACGCTCTGGGAGTCTAATAGGCTCTTGGCCGCCCGGGAGAGAAACACTTTCTCCCAGAAAGGTTCACTCTGCTTGATCGAGCAGAGTAAACCTTTCCCAGCTCGGGTTTTTTCTTCTTCTGGCATCGGAGCTGTTGGCTGCCGTCAGAATAAAAAAAAATAACCATAGGAATGGATAGCTAGATTCCTATTGGCTAGTTCAATTTGCAATAGCCAATAGCAAACTAGCTATTGCACCCGCACACTGCCGCTGTCAATCAGCAGTGGGGGCCTACAGTTCTCCATCAGGTCCCCCTCTGGTGATTGACAGCAGCAGAGGGCGGGTACAATAGCTAGTTTGCTATTGACTATTGCAAAGGGAAATAGCCAATATGAATCTAGCTATGCATTCCTACAAGTACTGATACGTGCCCAACTACTGACAGATACAAGTACTGATACATTTTTGTCTAGTGTCATGTGACAGTTTTTCTAAAACAATGCAGACTAATGATTTCAGGACAGTGGTGGAGCTCCAGAGCTAGGTCCCAGCTGGAACCGCTGCAACCCTGGTAGTTGTTGTGAAAATGCTAAGTATCGGCACTGCTATATGAACATCCCTAATATGTTACATAGGACAAGTGAAAATATTGTTTGTTATATTTATATTTCAGTGTGATGGAAAGTGCCTGAAGGCCTACGTCCACATGGCTAAAGCCTTTCTTGGACTTAAAAAGTTTGAGGAGGTAAGTCCTACTGAAACCAAGCTGTTTAAAGTGTAATTGTCAGAAAAACATCTAAACTTGTGACATGTTAAAATTCTAACTCCCCCACTCAGTATAATATATATACAGTGTATGTATATATATATATATGTAGTTAAAACTCGAATAATTTGAATATCGTGCATCGTCCACTCTAATCAGCTAATTAAGCCATAACACCTGCAAAGGGTTCCTGAGCCTTTAAATGGTCTCTCAGTCTGGTTCAGTAGGAATCACAATCATGGGAAAGACTGCTGACCTGACAGTTGTGCATCATTGACACCCTCCATAAGGAGGGAAAGTTGCATTAGTGAAATAAATGAACTTTTGCACGATATTCTAATTATTCGAGTTTCACCTGTATATGTAATCTTTCTTTCCTGACTAAAATTCTTCTTTAAAAGAAAAATGACCTACATTTCTTTGTGTTTTCAATTTTCAGTAAGTCACCTCTAATTACTATTGAAGGGAAATGTATTCATCTGTACATAAGTGATTAATATGATTCAGAATTGCTATATATTATTCTTGGGAGCTTAAATCAAGCCCAATTATGTACAACAATATCAAAGTAAAACTTTAATAACAAATTATTGCTACAGAACACTTGGTTGTCATTACAAGGCAATGCATATTTAATGAAGCATCTCTAACTTTGTAATCACCGTTCTTTTTAATTTGAGTGGAGAAATAAGAATTTAAAAAAATGAACTTTTGATTAAAACCTCCTACATATGGTAGTTCCAAAGAGAAGGTGCTAAATGCACTCAAAGTACTAAATTAAATCTTAAAACTCTCATTATTTAAAGCTTTTTAAAAAATGGTTTATTGTTTTAAAAAAGAAACTTTTTTATTGTTTAATTATTGTAAGTTTTTAAACATTGCTTATCTTTTTTACTTCTTTGAAGAAATATATTTTTTAAAAGATTAAAGTTTATTAGAAGTTTAATACATATATAAAAAAATAATAAGACGATACAGGAAAACAAAGTACTCTTTGGTCAGCATTTGCACAGTGCAAAAATACCCATAATGCATCTAGAGCAATGGAAAAGGTAAGAAAGAAAGCAAAGGAGGCACACATTTTAACTGCTACAGATAGTTAGGTTGACAGCAATAAGCGGAACTTGTCGGTTGTGCAGAAGTGCAGCCATACACTCCACAATTCATAAAATTGGGGATGGCGATCGTGAATGCTAGCTGTGAGTTTTTTCATCCGACAAAGGAAGTACATCTCTTCAGCCTATTCCTTCATGGTCGGGAGGACCAAGGACTTCCGATGTCTCGGTATGACCGTCCTAGCTTTCACAAGGAAAAAGCGGAGTGATCCCTTTTTAGAGGAAGCAATGCATCCTGGTATCATGGAAAAGAAGGGCCAGCTGTGGGGTTCGAATAGTCCTTGAACCATAAAGGGAGTCGTAAGTGTCCAAAACAGCGGACCAAAACTTTTATATGCCAGGGCCGGTCCACCAGATATGGAGCATCGTCCCAGGATGGGAGTGACAGCGCCAACAAGAGTCAGGGACCTGAGGGTAGATCTTATGAAGATGGGAGGGGCAGAGGTACCATCTGGAAAGGGTTTTGAAGTTGCATTCTTGAGCTCTACTGGCAATAGAGAGTTTATGAGTCAAGATAAAGGATTTAGATATATCAGATGTTGAGATAGAACATGACATCTGAAAAAAAAATATTTTTTAATACATGGTGCATCCATTATAATCAGTGCAAACATGCAGAGGATGCTGAATGTGTACTGACAACCTCCATTTTCACTTTATTGCTCCACTATGCTGTTATATCAGCTTTGTATGTATTGTCTAAATATGACTGTGCAGTTCAGTAGGCACTAGAGTAAGACATACTGCTCTCAGTATGTGAAAGATATGGTCAGACACACTCCCTCACCTTCTCTCCAATACAAGTCTGTGTAATGAAGCTTGTGTAGATGGTTGTAGCTGTTACCCAGCTCTGCAAGCATAGGCTACTGCATCTGTAAGATTCCAAGCATTTTGCTGGGTGCTGGGGTAATGCAATTCCAGTACACATGCACAGGAGTTACATCATCAAGGGTCCCCCACTGGCCAAAGGGAGAAGAAGCTTGGCGTGAAAAAACTCCAGGGAAACAGCAGTAGAGGAGTGGAGGCAGGGGGAATGGGCTTGCCTGCTCTGAATTGCTCAATTGTTTCTAGCTCATGACTAAATGTAATGAAGCTATTTGGTTATTATGATAGCTCGGCAGCTAGCATTATCAAAAGGATTGGTCAGCAATGCCAGCCTTCACATTTGTTTGGGTTTACTTTCAACCGTCTTGAGTTGTAATAAGCTTCTGAATTGTTTGTGTTGATCCAAAATTTTATGTATTGTTCTTTTATGTAAAAAGTTGTATTTTTTTAATGAAATCTTTATAAATCCGAACAACCAGACAGGTTTTGGCATGGTGGTCTATAAGTACCCAGAAAGCCCTCCACTGAAGTAATGAGAAACAAAGAAGAGTCTTCCTAAATCAGGAGGTATTTGCAGGTCTTACTTAATGAGAGATAAACAAATACCTTTTTTTTCTTTATTAAAGGTTAGTGGGTGGTGCCATGCAAATTATTCCTTTATGTCCATGTGGCCAACTGCACTTTGAGAATGGTTATAGTACAGATACAGCCTAATATTATCGAGCCACCTATTCCAAACTGTGTGTAGCCATTTCAGGCTAGTGTGTCATTTCAGTGCAGAAGTATGGCTTATGGACTGACACAAAGGAACAAACAGACACCTGAGGGAAGTAAGACCTGCAAATACCATCTTTTTTAAGAAGGCCCTACCTTGTTCCTTCACAAGTTAGTAAGTTTTAGAGGCAATAAAAAAAACACACAAATTTTGGCACACTAACTTTTGTTTTCCTTTTCCCTAGGCAAGAACATGGTATCAGAAGATCATGGATATTGACTCTAGCAAAATGAAACTTGTCAAAGGTATATAATAGTTGTCTTTAATACAAATAGGTAATTATCAGGATGCCACTGAAAGTATTAATGGGGCTTGAGCAAAACAAATGTTTTATTGTCTGCCCCTTATTATTCTCTTCACACAGATGCTGTTCTGCACAACATCACTACCCTTAATAGAAAGTAATATACTCTCTGATTTGGATAGCAACTCTACATGGATAGCAAGTGTAGGATAATCATATCACCGGGGGGAAGATATTATCACCCCATAACCCCTTCAGCAAAGGTGGGATTCACTGAAGGTCAAGCTTCTTTTTTTTTGAGGCCCACTGCACACTGAGCTTACTGAGGTCTATGTGAAGTGTAAATCATCTCTGTTCCAGAACATTCTGTATATACCCTGCTATCACTGTGCCACTGGGAATTAACTCTTCCCTCTCATCACATAACATATACAGCTTTGAAATGCTGCAGTGCCCTAGCGAAATATACAATGATTGATCAGAACTGGAATCTGGAGCAGTTGCCCATGACAATCAGCTTCTCTCTTTCATTTTCAAAGCTTAACTGAACAAACTGACAAGAGAAGTTAATTGGTTACCATAAGCAACTGCTCCAGATTTTATCTGCTCTAGATTTGATAAATGTCCCCCAATGTCTTTACAGCTTTCATATAAGCACAGACACACACACACACAAAGATACACAATTTAATCATGAACTTTAAGTATAAGTTAGTCAACCTAACAGTATGTATTTGGGTTGAGGAAGTACACACAGAAAACATACAGACTCTGTCTGGATACAGCTCTGGTGAGAATTGTTCCCACAACATGGGAAATGCAAGGCAACAGAGGTAAGCCAACAGGTTATATGTGTTTCACTAAATAAAATGGCCACAAATTGGCACACATTATTAAGTAGTAACTCTACAGAAGTAACAGTTATTAATGATCAAGTTCACATGATTGTCCAATGCTCTAATTATGTGCGATTGATTACTAAAGGATGCTGCTGCACATTTCTTGTGTAGTTTTCTCCATAGGGAGTCATTTGTTTCATCTGCTTAGTGATCAATTGCTATGCCTAGCAGTTAACTGTTAACGAGTGGTTACATTTCTCAGTATCAAGAGATTCAGATCATTAATTTTGCTCCAGCCTAACATCTAATTGTGCCAGTTGGCTGCTGTAGGGAATTAAGCAATGGAAAGGACCATGTGGTCTCCCATAATCATATATACAATTTATTTGCTTATACTTTTGCCTTATGCTACAATAACCTCTTTTTACTAAGCTAATAAGAATCATAACAGCCATGTGCTTAGTGATCCCTTGACTTCTATAAAACATGTATGAATCTTGCCTTGTCTTCATTATAAGGGCTAGTCCTGGGCATTTGTATGTGGCCAAGGTATATGTGCAGCTCATGCTGCAGGCATGTTGGCCATTGCAGTACGCAGATAGAGTTTTGTGAAAACAAATAAGGAACATACCTGCCTTTACCAAAGGAGAATCTTTAATAAAATCTGTAGGATGTAAATAGGAAAAGGTACGTTTTCTTTAGATGTTTCAGCTCAAGCAGTGCATTCCTGAGGTGGGTGTGTTAGTTATAGGAATTAATAAAAGTCGGTGTAAACATTGCAGTAAGCTTTGTTCTCTATTCTATTAGCACAGAGTACACTGGCATACTTTAGTGCAATTATAAACAGTCGCTGGTGTAAAGCCTAATGCATACTAGCTTGAAGACAAGCAGAAAATACAGAATTTTACTAAAATGGGAGAATCTATTAGACCATAACAGTACCAACATTTAGAGCAGCATGGGATATACACTACATTTACTGTTGATCTATACAAATGTGCAGCATTAATGTCTGAAAATGTCAGGTCATTAGTACTAGACATTTATATATAGCTGCATCTATGTCTAGTTCTATATAAATATCCATTTCGGGCAAGGTTTATGTTATTTAATGCACAGTGTACATGCAACATTGAAATCCTTAATTTATTCTGACATGATGTTGTTTCTTATGAGAAGCCTGAGAGATATCCATTCGTACCGCATGCTAAGCTAAGCCTGAGGCTGTTCCATACTGTCCACTCTTATGTGTGAGCCAGTAAAAGCTTGGTCAGTTAATATCCCAGGGAGGAAGAAATAAGGTCAGTTTCACAGTTATGAAAAATAGATATAGGTTGAAGCTTAATCTAATCTATGATTTTAAAATGTGTTTATATTAACTGTCTCACAGCCAGCAGTGCTCATTTTTGTAAAGGTCAACTGTCATTAAAAAGGGCAATGTAATGTTTATAGGTTGCTGTTATATTTCTATTTTATCATATAGTTTTGTTTAATTCCATCATGGATTGCAATTCTTTCTCAAAGGTTTCTCTTATTTGTACATGATTCCTTTATGGAATTTTGAGTATGTAATATAGGAAACAATATTTTTTTTCTTTGTATTCATATTTTCAAATGGCATTCAGCAGCCTACCTTTTTGGCTGCATAAAGGTGACAACAGCTTAATGACAACCTCATTTATCCACAGACAGAGTATATGCCAATTACTTTTTGTTCAGGTGACAATAGTTAATTATACAATATACTTGAAACCATATAAATCATGTGTATGTGTTAAGTACTTAAAACATTAGAGTCACTCCTGCAGGACTCCAAAAAGGTCCCCAGATACATTACTGCATAATAGCAAAATGGTAGCTGAAGAGTACAGCTACACAGGAGAGACACATACTTGCCAAGGGCAGCTAAGATTCTTTAATGTGCATGTACTAGATATGGGAAATAAAATGCACTGGCAAGAAGTTTATCAAATTTTAACTAAAATGAGAAGTGTGCTTGGAAGGGAAAGCTCACTAAAAACACATAGAACAAATTCCCATAACTCAGCTATGCTAGCCAATAAATAGACCTGGTTTTCATTTGGTTCTGCATATGGAGTACATCCAAACCACTGAACAGTGAATACCTATTTGCACCTTTCCCAAATCACTTTCCCAGCTCCATTCTGAAGCTAAAGAATACAAAGTAAAAAGCTGATGTACCGTATTTGTCGCCGTATAAGGTGACTTGGCGTATAAGACGACCCCCTACTTTTTCTTTTAAAATATAGGTTTTGGGCTATACTCGTCGTCTAAGACGAGTACAGTCCAAAGTAATGTTTAAATACACCCACTAACCTCCTTGGCGGTATTCCCGAGTGTGGCTCGGGGTTAATTTTCAGTACCATAAGCGGTGACCCCGAGCCACACTCGGGATTACAGCGTAGCATCTCTTACCTTGTCCACGATCTCCGCTGTGTCCTCCGTCTTCCGGGTTCCACCCCTTGTGAGCGTCCGCGTCGCAGGGAGCGGAACCGGCGGGAATTTTAAAAGTTAACGAAAAAAGAATAGAACAAAGAAGGAAAAATAAATAATCAGACCCCCAGGGAGGCTAATCTGTCAGCCCACTGGATGTGCGGTAATACTGTATGTACGTTAGCTTTGGCTACATACAGTACACCGCACTGAGCCAATCACGGCGAGCAATGTACATAACCTCTGCCAATCCAAGCAGGCTTTGTATTCATTAATGGAATACATCGCTCGCCGTGATTAGCTCAGCGCGGTATACTGTATTTAGCCGAAGCTACCGTACATACAGTATTATCTGCACATCCAGCGGGCTGACAAAGGGAGAGATGGGGCATGTCAGAGATGGGGCATGTCAGACCAGGTCGGTTGCTAAATGCACACTAAATATGGTATACGCCGGATTGTATACCTGGCGTATAAGACGACCCCCGATTTTCGCGGGATGTTTTTAAGTCTAAAAAGTCATCTTATACGCCGGCAAATACAGTAATTTTGTTGAATTGCCATATACCTGATCCAGTAAACAGAAAAGTTTAGGAGGTGGGAAAGTTAGGAGGTAAACGTCACAGCTGTGCAGAAGGAGCCTTGTCACCCTAGGACAGGAACAGCCTGTGGAATTATCTTGCTGGCAGTCAGAACTTATTTAACTGAAAAAGGAAATATAAAGAAAAACGTTATGGCGCTAAAGGGACGTGTGCAGAAACATGTTTGGCTTGAGTGTGTGAGTTTGGATTAAGAATTCCACGAGTGGTCCCAGGGATGTTGTATTAATAGATACTTTCCCTCTGACAGGGTACTTGAATGAGGTGGACTTCCAGGAGAGGAAAGACAAGGAAGAGCAGAATGCCTTACAGGAACTAGAGGCTGGGGCTGAAAATGCAAAATCTGTAATACAACTACTCCAAAGACTCTCTAAAGAAGATCAAATTCCACTCTATTACTCTGGAGGAATACAGCTTCTGGCTGATGTTGTGAAGGGCTGTAAGCTATTTCCACTATTTTATTCATTACTTAACTGAGTCTATTCTAGCTCAGGGCAAAGATTGTTTTTGCCACTTTATATGATGACTCTAGTCGATAACTAGCTTAGATTCCAGTTTAAATTATGAATTGCTTTGCCAACTGTATTTAGATTCTGGAATACTATTTTACCCTGCATTACAGTGACATTATTTTTAGTATTCCCTAGTTTAGTGTGACTTTCATTATAAAGCAATCATCACCTATGATCAAACAGATGCATAACATGAAAGCATTAACAACTGATACATTTCCAATTAAAATAACAGAATTACCTAAACAATGTACAGTTAATTCATTACAGTCAAAATGTAAAATTACATATAAAAGACACACATTTATGCTGTTCTGTATTCATTAATACATCATTACATTAAATCCTGTTTTCAGTGCAAACAGAGTAAGCGACTGAATTTGAAATGCATTAGCTGTACAGCAGAGCTCAGACTTGAGAAAGAAGCAGCTTAAAGATCCAAGCAGTTCATGTGCTGACAAGGAGCATGCTGATAGCAGGAGAAAGCAGAGTGACAGAGAGTGCTGTTTCACTGTCCAGTCACAGGTTGGGAGCAGGTCATTGACAGCCAAGGCTAAGTGAAAGTGTGTTAAATGATGATGGCTGTCATTCAATTCTGAAGAGTTATGACTAGCGGGGGGGGGGATAGATTTCTCTTTCAACATTTTTCCTTTTACTGAGTGCCTACTCCCAAGTATAGTATGCAACATAAAATGTAAAAAAAAAGGAACCACTACAAGGCAACACGCTATTACAGGGGAGCCCAGTGATGAATTTGAGTAGTTAAATATATGGATTTACCTATTTCACATATCACTAAAGAACACTGGATATATTGGACTCTTGAGCGCCACCTGCTGGCAAAGTCAGAGAACTGCACCCAGCCAGCAGCAGCTACGGAGTAGCCAAATTGAACTTGCAATCGCAATCTACCAGAAATATCTTTGCGATCGACTGGTAGATCGCGACCGACCTATTGGGCACCCCGCCACTAATAATTCAGCTTAACTGCATGGCCACCATTTATAGCATTATAATATGCATATAGCAAGTAGGGGTGTTTCTTTGCTGCTTTTTTAGATCCTGATCCATATTAGGAGCTTATTAGCTTATTTAACACTTGTAAATTTTAAAGGACAATAACCTTATGACTCAATGCAAAAACTGTTTCTAGTACTGAATTTTATCCCTTGCATGCCTTACTATAATATTTCATTAATTTACCTTTTTTTCTGTTTTTGCATACAGGTACAGCACAAACTCTATTCAGAACTAGTAATGGATTCAGTATCATTGGGGAAAACACAGTTATCAATAGGTAAGAGGTGCAGTGAGAATTCTGAGCAAGAGATAGCCCAACACATGCATTTCTAGTTTAAATAACTCCGCTCCACGCAAAATGTAGATGTGAAATATTCATTTTGAGTAGTCATTTTTTTGATTTGAAAATGATAGGTAAACCTTGTACATTCATAATATAGAGTCAATTTATGTTTTTCCATACACATACCTTGCTCAGAACAATTTAAAGGTGGATTATGTGAACTGGGCTGTTAATAGTAACTTAGGGGTTTATTCACAAAGCTGCTGAAGGCAGCTGAGTGAATAACCGAGCCGAACGTCGTTTGACTATTCACTTCGGCTCAGTATGGCTGATTTCAGGCATCGACTAAAATCAGCCGTACCTCATGCACACAAGTGCAGAAACAGTTGACTCAGCCGATCCAACATCTGGATCGGCTGAGCCAAAGATCCGGCAGTTCACTCTCTGCCGTTCCCCCCTATTCTCATAGGTGCAAAAGTGAACAGCCGAATGCCACCGAAATCATTTAAATAAATGTAACGAAATAAAAATGTAAAAAGTTAAGAAAATAATGCAATTTATTTTAAAGAAAACAAAATATAGCATGGGGTCCCCCTCCCACATCATACCAGACCCTTTTGGTCTGGTAGGAAAGTTAGGAGTGACCCCTATTTAAAAAAAAGAAAAGCTCTTAAGGTCTAGTAGGGAAGTTAGGAGGGACCCAAAAGTTAAAAATAAAAAAAGTGAAAGGGGTTCCCTCCCAAAGTAATACCAGGCTTTTAAGGTCTAGTAGCAATTTTTAAGCAGGGACCCCACCCCCACAAATGGGGAAAAAAACATGGGTTCCCCCTAAAATTCCCCACTAGATCCTTGATCCGAGCACAGGCCTGGCGGGGCAGGAAAGGGGGGGTGGGCGTACCAGGCCACATGCCCTCCGCACTGAGAGGGTGCTTTTCCAGGGTCGCCAGGGGTGTTAGTTGTGGGGGTGTGGGCAGAGGGGCTTATTCACTTCAAGATATGCCTATAATAAAGGAGCACCCAAATGCGGCCCCCCTTGTGAATGAGTAAAGGGTCACTAAAGGGTTAAATAAAAGTTAACAAAAAGTCCAGACTTTAATCAAAAATCCTTTAATTGAAATAAAAATGCAGCAAAGGATTTTTGACCTTTACTTAAAAAAAATGGATCCACCAACATAAAGGTCAATCATGATGTCCAGCATTGTCCATGACCACAACGACTTGGCGAAATAAAAAATAAAAATAATAACTAAATAATAATAATTTTAAAAAGATGCCTGCCGACCCGACCGCACACGACGAACTCCCGCAGAATGAAGAATCTGACAGATGCCGGCAAAATATAAACAATTGGGCGGAGCTAGTGGTGACATCACTGCTAGCTCTGCACAACTGTTTAGATTTGTCCGGCACCTGCCAGAGTCTTCCAGCAGGTCCCAGGCAAAGGAAAACAACTGGGCAGACTCCACACAGTTGTTTAATGACAGATCATTCATTACAGTACAAAAGCTGGGCAGAGCCAGCATGACATCACGACTGGCTCTGCCCAGCTGTTGTCCTTTGGGGGGAGAACGGTCGGTTTTGGCTGTCACTACACTGTTCGACTGTCACTACGGCTCAGCCGAGCCATTTGCCTGCCTTCGGCTGCTGTACAGGCTGTTGTGAGTAGCCCGTACAGCAGCACTTCGGTCCGACCGAAGCTATGGCTAGATCCTTTGGCAGGTAAGTGAATAACCCGCTTAGTATTTTTTACATTTAGTTATAATTTAGATTAAACAAAATATTTTGAATCACCAAAGAGAACGAGACACCACACCCCTCAATTTATTATTTCAACAACACAAACAAAGTATGGGGCTTTTAAGGTGCCTTTAACAGGAATCAAACAGAGTTACAATATAATAGGAATATTACATTTCTTTCAAAAAACATTTTTTTATTTTATAAAATGAGATATGTTACGACTGTCATAAATACCACTGAGGTTCAAACACATGCCAAAAATAGTTTGCTACATGGTGTTCTATATGAGTGTAGTACCTCCCTGGATCACACATACACATTTTGTACATAGATAATTCAATAAATATGTCAATCAATTGTTTTGTAAAAATTGTATATATCTTGTACATAATATCTTCAAATCATGTATCGATGTGCAGTGGATCCAACCTTCTATGCTTTTCGACAAGACTTCATCAGGAAGACCGGAGGCAGCCATTTTAGATAGCTTGGTGGTAGATAAGTCCACACACACAGGAAACATCCCTCATCATCCAAAAAAAAAATAGAGAGTGGAGTGCGCAAAGGGGTGACATGACAAGCGGTACTTGCTGACCATAAATATTGACGAGCACTCCCAGACCGCTTCTCCAATCGATCTGTCCATCTCTTCCTTTCCCTAACAAATCTCTGCCGCAATAGAACACGCCATCTAGGCGTGCCGTGTGATGTTTGCAGCTGGGGCGGGCCTGTGGTGTGTTAGCAATAGTTTAGTAATAGTTTAGTTTAGTTTTGTCTAGTTCCATTTTGTTAGGGATTGTATTCTTTACTTTTAGTTATGTCACTTATATGTGTCTTATTTTGATGATTGTGTTTTAGTGATTATTTTTCTTTAACTTTAGGAGCCTTACCACCAGACAAGCAGACCCCATAGATTCAGATCTTTGTATTTCAGTTCTCACATTATGGCAAGCAGTCTGCAATGGAAATGGTAATTCGATAACAATATATGGTGCTATTTCCTCACTAAGTTCAACTTTTCCTTAGAGACATTTTGTTCATTACTTCCTTATTAAGCTTACCATTTCTTATATGTTGCCTTTTTGTAGTAATGTGTGTAACTTTTCTTAAAAGCAGAAGATATACTGTATTTCAATAAATGCAAGCAGAATAACAAATCTAAACTTCCAATTACAATGGATATTGTATCATTTTTATCTTGTGGTTCCTAGAACAATGCTGCTATTAAAAAATATAACAGTTAAATGAACCTCTAGTAATTTACAAATTGTAAAAACAGATGTGTTTGAGTGTCTCTAAAATAAAACTGATTTCCTGATTCCAAAGAAATTACATTTTTTTTATTACTGAACATAACATTTAAAATAAAAAAACAGTATGCATTTCCTGTACATTTCTAGTGCAAATCTAAAGCCAAAACATTTTGCTTTTGGAAAGAGTTTAGGCTTTAGTTAAACTTTATTGGCTTGTGTACACTGGCCGTTGTTTGCATTCGAACTTGTATGAGTTGCATTTTACAGACTTGCTTCTCCCAGTTGTTGTATGGAAGAACTGCTTTTCTTCCCAAGCAAGTCAATGATAACATAAAAGCAGCTCAAATCAGCTGGAAGCAGCTTAGGCAGAAGCATTTAAAGTGCCTCAAATGACTGAATGCAGCTGAAAATATGCTGTATTCTTCTGTCACAAAACCCTTTCACTGGTTTTGGTGTATTTTTCAGACTGAATTTAAAGACAAGAATTCCCTAAAGTATTTTTTTTTTTTTTTACAGAAGAGAACCAGAACTTGTTTATCACCCAAAGTAATATACGCAAGCAGATCTTTACATTGCTGTCGTCAGAGATCCCTGATATTCAGAGAATGACACTAGCCCTTTTAAAGATGTATTCCTCAACAGCTGATGGAAGACTCCTACTGGTCAAACACTTAGACCCTTCTAAGTATGTTCTTTTATTTTAATCTCTAATAACATTTCTCACAGGATTCTTTAAGCAAAACTGTTTTTGTAATGGGGCATTTTTATTGGGGTTAACACAAAAAAAAGCAGTTTTGCTTTACTTTGATCATGGTTTTTGGGTGTCATTTATTAAATACTGAAGTTGAAATAATGAAGTTGTTTTTCTGGCAATATTCACTCAATATATCTGTGCTCCTAGTTTATTCCTACCCACACAAAATAAATGATCCTAATAAAGCAGCAGGTGTGTTGATGTATAAACTACACCGCACGTACGGAAAAAAAATCCACAATCATTGCGCTGTTTTTCAGCAATGTCTAAAGGCAATGTAGAAAAAAAAGGTTATAAGCCATCGAAAAGCATATTTCCAGGTTGTTGCCTTTTTTAGTTAAATGATAAAAATAGTGTTTTTTGGTAAATTTTCTTTATTTTAGTATTTTGAAAATGTATACATTTATATATACAGTATGTGTATTATATTTTTACATTCCTAAATTCTTAAAACCCTTCAACAAATTAATATTTCATACAGGGTGCTCTCATGCTTTAGTGTGTGCAGTGCATGCTTCCTAATAGGCTAATTAGAAATAGGCTTCCTAATTAGAGAGACTAGCCTAGCACTAGCTCTGTACTTTTTGCCTGCTCTTGTGGGAGTATAAAAGTGGCAACTTGCACACAAGAAGAAGAAGCTAGAGAGTCAATTTCCATTCCAAATCATTCAGCTGGCAATCTGCATTCGTTGCACAGTGGTAAACCCTCTATTTTAGATCATGGAGTGCCAGGCAAGACACTTACTGAGGTGAAGAGGTACATCCTATCTACACTAGCAAGGAAAACCTGTATAACATTAATAATGAAGTACTCCGGGCTCCCTCTGGTGTCTTCATCACAAACCCAGACATAGGGGTCTATTCCCTAAGCTGCCTGTAAGAGACTTACCCCATATCGTTGCGGGGCCGCGATCCGGGGCCGAGCACGCGCACAGCGTAACCTAGCTCCTCCCCCCAGCGTACACGCACAAGCCTCCTTAAGCCGCGACCAGACGAATCTTCGGCGTCCTACTGTTAGTGACAGTGAACGCTGAAGATTCACGTTCCTGCATCCGCAGACTGAACGGGGAACCTAACACCCTACCACTTGGCACCACTAGTACCCCACTGCTGAGGAAGGACTGAGAACCTACCTGTACTCGCCTCCAGCCTCTGAACCGCAAGTACCCTGGTTGACAGTGGCACAGCTCTGCCTCTATGCTGCATGTGATACAGCCTCTCATGTAACCAGCCTATTGAAGCCTCTCTTAAACTGCCATTACCTATGGTTAAATGACTATTCACCTCTATGCAGATTGTCAGGGGATTGCCTTGCTTATTGAAGGAATTGTTGTAGTCAGCTAAGTGTTATACGTTGTAACCACTACCACACAATTGATTCACTTGAACTGTAAATACTTACCTGATTCTTCTCCAACTAAGTGGTGCTACATTAGGGCAGATTGCACTAGATTATACTCTGATTTTCTAATTACGATTGCATACTCGTAATCCAAAAACAACGGTTACATGATGTTACCGGTCTCATTCAAATCTCTAAGTTGCTGAGAGAGTATGATAGAGACCGCTCGCTGACAATACCGTTTCCTACAGTCACTCCGCAGCTGTGATCCAAGGCTTGCCCTGCAGGGATATTACACTGCCAAAGGATCTAGCCATAGCTTCGGCTGATCCTGGGGCCGAAGCTCAGTATAGCCTGTACAGCTCCCGAAGTCGGCCGAGTGACTCAGACGAGCCGAAGGCATATGCCTCGGCTCGACTGAGCCGAGGTGAAAGCCGAAACTGGCCGGCCGACAGCCTGCTTCTGACAGCTGGGCCCAGCCAGCCGTCCCTAGTTACCAGCTAACCAGGGGCGCTGTCATTACACACTGAGAGCGGCCTCTCCGTGTTCTCAGTGTGTAATGACAGATGGCGTTCCTGGTTACCTGGTAACCAGGAACGCCATCTGTCATTCCTCCTCCGGACGCTCTAGGAGTCTAATAGGCTCCCGGCCACCTGGGAGAGAAACACTATCTCCCAGAAAGGTTCACTCTGCTCGATAGGAGTGCATAGCTAGATTCTTATTGGCTATTTCAATTTGCAATAGCCAATAGCAGAAGCCACACAAACCCACCCGATGTACGGCTGATTTCAGCCAATATACGGCTGGAATCAGCCGTACCAGCCTGAAGTGAATAGCTGAACAGTGTTCGGCTCACTTCTCTTGGGGTCGGTTAGTCACTCGGCTGCCTACGGCAGCTTAGTGAATAGACCGCATAGTTCCAGAGCAATTGCTTTTTGGCAAGTGGTGGGGTCTAACGATTGCCTGAACTATCCTTAACAAAGGGCAGGCATCCCAGTGACATCTCTTGTTCAGGTACCAGCAGTTGGACATAACCTGTAGTTTTGATAGGTAAGTATTACACAGGTTTTATTGTTTTGTATGTTATAGAACAGTGGGAGGGAGCACGTAAAATATATTTGTGTTAGACTTCACATTTGCTTTAAAGATCTTTGATACAAACAAAAAGAGTACAACAACTAAAAAAAGTACATGTAATTAGAAGCCTTTTGTTCTTCCTAATGCACGTGGCTGGATCTTCACATGATCATTTTTCAGTGTGGTCTTTTAAAGCATTTTCAGAACAGTGACAAATTGACCCTTTCATCCAAAATATATCATGCTGTGCTGCTAAAGTACCCAGATATTTTCTTCTCTGCTTCACATTCATTATTCATTAAAAGCTGGGAGCAGACAAATTCTATGGCAAGCTTATCTCCAACTATTTTTCAAGACTATTTTAAATGATTGCTGTTGATCCACAAAAGAAGCTACCAGCAGTGATGTACTGTAATTTGCTGTTGCGAGGGCAGCAATGCATACCTGTATGTATTCTAACAGGATACATATTCTTTTCTTATATTGCAATTGGAAGAACATCAAAAATGGGTTGTTTATGAATCAGAAGCATTTTAAAACTGATAACAAAAGCTCCCTGCTGAGCCAGTAGGCTTGGGTTATATTTGTTCCTTTGTAAACTGAAATGATGCAGACCACAGCTAGGCATAAAAGATAAAACTGATTCTAATGTAAATTAGTTACTGAGAGATATGAACAACAAGTTACAAGAAGACTCAAAATTAGTCCTCTACCCATACATTTCCAGCAAATCAAAGAAAACGCATTGGTATCATTAACTCTACAGAACATCACAGTCATGCATCATCAAGCATGCAATACACATTCGATTGCAAACATTGTTTATAAAATATGTGTACATTTACACAGTTATAATTCAAAAATCACAAACGTAGACCTCTCTTAATGGCCCCATGGAATATTTTCTCTAATTGTGCTTGTTTCTTTTTTTTTTAGTTTTGCTTAGAAATATTAGTGATATCATTCAATGCTATCAATGCTATCATCTTTAAAGTGAAGCTCCAACTTTTTTTAACTCCTGAAAAAACAGAAATATATGTTTTTATTATTTGAGGTTAGCGTGAGGGGTGGTTGTCAGATTTGTATTGCTAAAGAAAAATATAAACAAGAGACACTCACACAGCATATCAGAACATCTTAATCTTTAATCATAGATAGTAAAATAATACAAAATTAAAGATAGAATGAAAAACAAACCAAACAGGAAATATTCAATTGAGCCAGGAGGGCAAGCTGACAGCCAACTATATACAGCAAAAAACAATTACTTAATAAACATAAAATGTGAGTTTTTACAATAGATGCTTATCCTGCATCTGTATCTCTCCCTTGATGTGGCCAATAGCAGGTGGAGTAACTGGCAATGACAAGTCCATAATGGAAATACTGCAACTAAGCAGACAATCACTCCTCATTCAGGTCACACATGTTTTTGCATTTCTCGGCATCCAAACAATATAGGAGTACACTGCATCTATGTTCTCCACTGGACTTATATTTTTATTTAACCAAATCTTCTAGTTTATCCTTTTTCTATTGAATTTTAATGTATATAGGTTTTTGTTATATACATTTGTAGAGGGACTGGTTTTAGCATGTTCTCACTGCTGTCTGTGTTCCTGTTTAGGGATAGTGCCCTTTCACTTCCTGTTAATATTCATTAATAGGACAGAAAGGGGTTTATTTATTAAAGGCAAATAGGCTGTTCACTTTGCAGAGGAATTTGCATTTTGCAGGGGAAGTTTCCCCTTAGCTTGCTGAAACTTCACTTTGCAAAAAATACCCAATCATGTGCAAGATAAAATTTAAAAAAAAATATTTTTGGTTTCACATAATAGGGTGATGGAAGTCAGCAGAGCTTCAGCTCATTCACTAAACTTCCCCTGCAAATTTCCTTGCAAAGTGAACAGCCTATTGGCATTTAGTAAATTAACCTAAAAGTGTGAATAATGCCCCATGTTGACTGTTGTGATTGTTATCAATTTTGTTTTTATTTAGGTTTTAACATAGATACAGGTGTATGAAACAAAAATAAAGTAATGTAATTAAATTAAACAATAGTATAATCCAAAGAAAGAGGGGAAGGAGAGAAAAAAAAAGAAGGGGAAATCTTATCTCGTACTCATACTCGTACTCACGGGAAATGAAGAACATCAAGAAGCGTGGCATCGCTCCTAGTTCTCTTGAGTATTTGCCAGGGGGACCACACCTTATCAAATTCGGGAATAGTATTATGCAATCGAGCCGTTAGATATTCCAAATTATGAATATCATGAATCCTTCGCAATAATTTTTCATAAGATGGAGGTATAGGTTGTCGCCATTTTAAGGCTATAAGGCATCTTGCTGCAGTGAGGACATGGTTCATGAATTTGGTAGTAAATTTCAAAAAATGTGGAATAGGAAGGCCTAGAAGCAAATATACGGGGTCGTCTGGTATAGTCTTATCAATTAATCTTTGGAGCATAATCATTATAGACTTCCAGAAGGGACGTATCTTGGGACATTCCCAA